GAAGTGGTCATTGTACGACCGGACGAGGAGATAAAGTCGTCATCGCTTCTGGATGAAGTTGACTTGAAAGACACCAAGAGAGTGCTGAACGCACGAAGTGGATCGTCGATCCTATGGAATCCCTTAGATTCGTACCATCCTTTGGTAAAGGAATTTCAAGACGTCGTCTCCAAAGACCCGTCTTCGGTCCTACCTCCGGACCGAGGTGTGCGTCATGAGATCGACCGGGTTTCGGAAACCAAAAACTGCGTAACACGCCAATGGCCCCTGCCCAAGGAGCAGTGCGACGACATTGACGCATTTTCCGTGCAAAGCTTGACGCAGGGATGGTACGTGAGAGCAACTCTCTCCCTTCGACGCCCACGTTTTGTATTTGCAAGCCGAACGGCAAGTGAAGTGTTGTTCATGCTTACAATAAGCTCAACGCGGCCACCATTCCGGCACAGACACCGATTCCTAGAAAGGATGTTCTTCAGAACAACATGGTGAGATGTACGAAGTACGGTGCACTGGACTTGGTCGACGGGTATTATCAAATGCTCATGAGAGCGAGTGACATTCCACTGACAGCGGTGAGCACTCCGAGCGGCATGCTCTGGGAGTGGCTGCTGATGCCCCAAGGGCTGTCAAATGCGCCAGCAACGTTTAATCGTCTTGTGACGCAGTTATTCAGGCCCCACAGGGCGTATGCACAGACATACTTTGATGACATTTTCGTTCACAGTCGTGCGAATCACGGGAGGACGGATGAGAGGAACCACATTGTTCATTTAAGAGCGGTGCACGAGTGCATGCGCACGAACAAACTGTACGCCAATGCAGAGAAGTGCACCTTTGGCGCAGAAGAGTTTCCTTTTTGGGTACTTGATTGGGAAGCGTGGCCCTCGAGTGGATCCCGCTAAGGTCAAGGTCATTGTTGACTGGCTTGTTTTGTAGAACCAGAAGAACTTGTGTTAGTGGCTTGGTCTTGCCAACTACTTGCACATGTACAGCGTAAACTACGCAGAAATGGCCCGGCCATTATTCAATCTCCTAAGAAAAGTTGCGGAATGGTGTTGGAACATCAGACATTAGTAGGCTATTGACGGGGTCAGAGACAACCTCCTGCATGCACATAAACTGGCGCTGCCAGACCCTGATCGTCATTCCAGCGTCGTCTGTGACGCTTCGGACTTTGCCATCGGCTGTGCC